TATGGTGTTCAGTTTGATATGTTTGCGAAGATTAACGTTAATGGGTCAGATGCTCATCCTCTCTACAAATTTCTGAAAAGTAGACTTGGAGGTACTCTTATAAGGTAACTTTATAAAATTAATCATTTCTGCAGTGCTATTAAATGGAACTTCTCCAAATTTCTTGTAGATCGTGAAGGTCAACCAGTTAAAAGATACTCTCCTACAACTGCTCCAAAAGTAAGTTCGTAGACTGTTATATTCTATGATCTGTACATATGAGGTGTCAGGATGTTAGTCCCAATTAACTAAGTAATGTAAAAAGCTGTTGATCTATTCACATCTCATATATCTGAGAAGTGGAAAATCATTGCGTAACTATGTCGGACAATTTTAAAAGTTGTAGGTCGCAATACCCATCTGGAATCACTGACATGTATATTCGACCGCACTTGACCTAAATAGTGAGTCTCCAAAATTCAGCACATGGGTATTGGGAGATACATTCATTTTCTTTTCTTTTGAGCCTTCCTTTAAAGATTAGCAACTTGAAATTCTGCACATTTGAACTTATCTCTACATCGATAATTCAGTCAGATGGTGGCAGTAAATAACCTAACGGATTAGTTTGTGCATAGAAATTCGAAATAATTCCATCTGACTGAAGTACATCGTTGACCAATACAGCTTATAAGTAGGAGGATAAATTTTCCTGTGTTAATGACTCATGCATGTAACTCCACAGTCATGCGGAGATTCTGTAAAAATTACTGTTAATATATCTAAAACAATCAGACGGACATTAAAACACGCATTTATGGGTGTTCATCAGTCCCCATATATTTTGATAGACTTTGTCTATTAGAGTCTTTTTATGGGAGCATTCTCAAGGGGATACTATATGGCATTTAAGGCAGAGAGCTGTCGTCAGGATTGACTTGTTGGCATACTCTGGCATCCACACTGAAGTCAGCCGATGTAGTTATCAGCTTTATTCATTAAGATTGCTGAGACCTGTCACTGGTGCTGGACGATGTCAAGTGAAATAGGACTGGACACCGCTCCACCTTCAACATTGGTGACTAGGCAGTATCAACTTCCCTCACACAATACGTGTGACTCGTTGGCTGATATATGAACAATCTACCTCAAGCATATGAGTCCTAAATACATGAAGTCATTGACAATTTTTGGGTGTGTGGAGGCATGTATATTGCCAAGCTGGCTTTTTCGGTATGCTTCAAACCAGTGGTTGTGTTCTTGCTGTCAGGGCTTAAATCATTCGTCGAAATTCTGAATATAACTACTGCTTGGCCATAATAATAATAATTTTTTTCTTTTAAAATGGTGAAAATCGACGCTAAGCTGTAAACGGAATTATTATCCTTGAAGCAGTTAATATTTTTGTGATTATTATTTCTCATAATAATGACAATGTTTATTAATTCTTAAAGGATATCGAAGGTGATATTTTGGAGCTTTTGGAAAGAAAGTGATCATGGAACATTCCGAGCTAACATACAGATTTTCTCATTATGACGATGGCAATCTCAAACCCTCGTTGATTGTCATTTGATGAAATCAGTTTTGTGTGCAGCTGATTGTGAAATTCTGTTAATTTGGCTTGATTGTATCCATGAAAAACGAAATATGATAAATGTTACTTCTCCTGCTATCCTAACGATGTGAATCTACAATAAACATGAATGTGCTTTTCCTGTTCACTTTTTTTTTATTTACTACACATGTTACAAAAGTTCCAAACAGAAACTTTCACATCCTCTTTATACTTGGCGTTTATGTGATACCTCAGCACACCTAGATTAAAATAGTACATATAGCTAGCAGTTTTATTTATTACCAATAAAAAGTATTGAAAATTCTTCAAGGGTATTATGGATCCAGTGTCTTCATTGTGGCTTTCTTGCTACTGATTCCATTAGACAGCTCCTAAAGTAGTCTTCTTGTGCCACTATACTATGAGCGCAGATTTATTTTTGAACCGATCTAGATTTCCAAAACCTGTACTTGATTTCAAGCAGTAAAGTGTTTTATCTGGAGCTCGAGGACGTATATTTTCAGATTACATTTTGGATGTCTTGCTAACATTGTTCTGTTGCAAGGGCGCATGTTCATTCTAGATGTGAGATGTAATTAGGTAAATACATTAAGACTTAAGACCGTTTACTATGTCCCAAGGACACGAGATGGTAGTCAGCTAAGGGGTTGTAAATGATTAACGTTAAAGGAGTTTAAAGCTCATTCACCAGTTTCATAACAAAATAGATTTTTATATACCGGGCTTTGTATTTCTGTTATTATGCGACAGCTGATGATACTAATAAGTTGCTCAGGATGAAGTAGATGGAACAAGATTCTAACCTGGGACTCATGTGTTCACTATAGTGTGATTCGAAATCTGTTATTATCGCTGTGTAAAGTTTTATACAATTAGCATTTCTGTTGGTACTCATGCTTTCAATCCAATGGCTAGTGGCAGATTGTACGAATTGCTAGATGAACTGTCTGGGCATTTACGAAAGAATAGGTACTTTCTTTAAAGTTGTTGATACAACCGTTTGTATATGTAGAGGATAGTACACCACTATGTATATCGTCATACATTGTGTAGTACAGTTGTGATGTGAGCGAGTATTGAAATGATATATGAGTAAGCCTCAGGCTATCCCCCGGTTGTACTTTCTTGAATGCCATGTAGCTGTTTAAGGTTCCATGTGATTGTGTTAGATTATGAACATTGTGTCATCCCATCCGTCTATATCATTAGCAGTTACTTTATGATTATTTAATATCAGGATAGGAGTTTGTTGATTATTACTATGTTCTATACTTAACGACAGCAAGAGCCTGTACTCCACGATTACACAGCAAGGAAAAAGATTGTGATTTCTGTATTAATAAGCAGTTCAGACAGTAGATCAACAACACTTCCTATAGCAGTGGTACCCTTACCTGATAAGTAATCGGTATATTGTTTCTAAATTTCAAAAGTAACTTCTTTTAGTTACTACTACACTGCAACAGGGGAAGATTTCACGGTTAATAATTGTAGGTGGTACATAATCTTCACGATCATGATGTGACAGGGGTGAAGATGATGGTATTTCAATTCCAGGCATTTGACCATCTACACTTCTCAAAAGTGTTTAGACAACTGAAAATGAGGCAGTGCACTTCCTCAGTTAATCAGTCAGACAGCAACAGCTTCTTCACATCCAAATCGTTTTTATATTGAAAATTTCACTCGAAGTCTTTCTAAGTCCATTAGAGATAGACTGAAATTACATATCTCACTAAAGTGAAATTACTAGGCTGGCGGGTGTACACCATTATATAGAAATCTGTGTATACGACTGATCTATTCAAATACCTTCCCAGGAAAAAATAATGCAGAACGGAATTAATGTGTTCAAAAAATGGGTTCATTACTTAAATATAGTAATCGACAGGAAGTGTTTCTCATGTGAGTCACAGTTTTTGGTTCCAAAAAATCAAAACAAACAAAGTGTGTGCGAAGAGATCGTACGTTGTTTCAGTGATAATGAATTTTTCTCACAAGGAATGATTACCGTGCTAATTCATTTTACACTTTAAATGAAACATTTCATAATAAAAGTCAGTCATACTGTCAATTCCCAATGTTTCCTAACCACACAGGTTGATTTTTAATTACTTTAAATCATTGTTATTATGTGACATTTCGATGTGTTGGGGTTTTCCCTCTTACTTTGTTCCGCGGACAAACCAGCTTCCGAAATGCCAATACAGAGTAGTACACCAGATGAGATGACAACTTTGCCTGTAGGAGCGTTTCCCACAGTCGATATCGTTAACTGTATTTTGCTTGCCTTTCATATGCAATTTAAAATAAATTTTATTTGTCGGTTTAAATTATAAATGCTCTTAATAGTTTAGTTGGAAAACCTGACACATCTAATCATCAGCTTTCTATAGTGATTTCCTGAATGTCGATTTATTTTACAGACTAGTTTGAGGCGGAACACTGCAGTCCGATGCTTTTTGTTCATTTCATTGATATTGGTGTACTCCAAAGCATATTTTTTCTTTTGAATAATGTTCGTGGGCAACTGGTTCCGTGTTATCGCTAATATTTCTGTGAATACATCCAAAGTCATTTGATTGAATAGTATACAATTCTAGTGTGAATTTAATGTCAACATGTATGAAAATATTACGTGAGCGTTGCTGTATAACAGCTAAATTCCGTTGTACGTCTAATAGTCTTATTAGCTGCCCAGCACTGTTAGAAATTATAGCCACGAAGAAATTCCATGTGCAGTGTTGTTAGTACGTACTACATAGTAAATATTCTGTCCATCTAAATCCTGATGAACGCGAACTCGTACTGTAAAACTACTACTCGTATTAGTAATCTAGGGCTAATAGTAGTTGGTGTGAAAGTTTACATGTTACAAATATGGATGAAAAAAGAGGGTTCGACCACTTTGTAATCGGTTATCTAATCAGGATGTAGGCGGACTCGAAATGTTAGTTTCCCGACATAACTAGAGTCTTCCAATAGACGTTAAAGCTTTATTCGAAGACTTATTATTCAGATGAACAGTGTGTGATATTTTTAATATTATATATGAGTACCAAACTTAAGACTGCTGGTTTCTACGAATCTGTCATAAACGATATTTCAGAAAATAACTGGATTTCGCGTTTCACCTAACTCATAAGTAACTGAAAATACAATAGACCATAATGACAAACAAGTGCGTCAGTGTTTCAGCTGCAGAATTCTCGTGGATCACGCACACGTGGCCCGGATTAGATCCCCGGTCGTCGCACTTCCAAACCTAGTCTAGTCGGTATTAAGCTTGGCAAAAGCGGAGAGTATGCGTTAGACCAGCAACCCCACCCCGTTAAAAACAACACCGCTACTGAAAACTCAAAGCTCAAGCTTGAAACCCGATGTTCCAACCTGAACTCAAGTGAATGAAAAGAATATAATGTCACAGTGTGAACTGAATTCCCACTTTGTCATGTCCAGTTGATTTTTTTATTCCAATAATTCATACGGGTATCAAATCAAATAGCGTTATGTAATAAGCGTTATACACACACACACACTCTGTCATCCACGCAGTGGAGGTTTGTTGAGAAATAACAATGAAAAGGCTCAGCTTGTCGAGAATACAATATAACAAATTCATTTGATAAAACAATACAAAATTGTTCAGATCACATTTCTATTCTCAGTTTACATGTGGGTAGAGTTATGAAATAAGAAAAAATCATTCAGAGCTCGTTCAAGTAAGCAGCAAAATACATTTTTATAATCCAATAATCAAAATATGATGATTCTTTTGTTTTTAATCATTAAAATTTAATTAGATTTTTTTGGTAAAAATTATCTTCAGTTTCATAAGGATAAATCTTAGTTATACAAAACCAGATATTTCATATTGATAGATTTTAGCCAGCAAATCTGAAAGTGATATGGAAAAAAGACATTTTAGTTTATTATAAGTTTATTACACAGACTACAAACGTGTAGTTAATTTTTTCTAACTAGAAATAGAGATGAGTAAAGAATAAGATTTAGAAAAAGAAAGGCATTGAGGAATTGCAATTTCCAACTACTGAGTGGAATGATTAGCTTCTCCCTTGGCCTTTTTAACGATATATATAACCAACAAAACTGGCTGAGGAGGTTGGCAGAGAAGACAGGACTCCAGGTGAACATAGAAAAGATAGAGGTGATGAAGATAACCAACTAACAACAACCAGCACCAATCACCATCAAAGGGAGAGATTTGACAGAGGTTACTTCCTCCAATTATCTTGGAAGCACGGTTTCAACCACTCGTAGCCGAAACGCATGAGGATGTCAAAGCCAGCCAGAATTGGAAAGGCATGATACACCTTCAACAACCTGAAACCAGTTTGGAAATCTTCTGAACTCAGGCAGCATAAACGACAAGATTCGGATTTACAACACAAATGTCAAGTGTGTCAGTTCTTCTATACGGGTCAGAAACTTGCACTGCGCGTCACGAAAATGATTTCCAACAGGCTACTGCAGACTTTTATCAACAGATACCTTCACTGGATCTATACTGAAGATCAAATAGCCAGAGAGAATTAGCAACAAGAAACTGGCAACAAACTGACCAATTGCTCAACAAAGATGCAGGAGAAAACGGAGACGAGTCGGGCATAAGTTGAGGAGGCCGTCGAGTGACATCGTCCACCAGGCCATCGGTCGAGTGAAATCAGAATGGGAAGCGACAAGTGGGTCGTCCGAGGGTGACACGGAGGAGATAGTGGGAGTAGAAGATAAGAGATTATTGGCTATCATGAACCCAGCTAAAGAGGATAGCAGAAAATAGGACGAAAGTGGGGATGTGTTGTTGAAGCCCTAGTTTTGGACTCCCTAGCATTAAGTACCCACCATGGTTCGAAACCGGGGATCGCCGGTTAGAAGTCGACCTCGTAGACAATTCAGCCACTGGGACCTGAATTCCGACTGCTGTCAATTTGCGATATATTTATACAGCGTAACCATCAGCTTATTTCATAGGCGAGTAACTATTCTCTTAACTGACTTGGTGAACCCTGCTGGTTACAACTTTTCACCAGAACTCCAGGTAACTTTGCATATAGAGCCGGTGGTCGATAATGAGGCATTAGATTGATTGTTGAAAAGATATGGCTATTTAATTGTAAGGCTTTTTCCCCATTTTACAATATGATGAATGGTTATATCGAGTTTCCATAACTTCTTGTCTTGATAATTAGTTACTGACAAATATAAACTGCTGGGAAAGTTAAGTTAGACAATGTGGCAAAACATGCCCAGTATTCTGTTCGTTCAATAGTAGGTCAGAGCCAAGTTAGACGATGTATGGTATTGTGATTACGTCAATTCAAAGTATGAAAGTTATGCTTGCAGACAGATTCAACCATTTTGAAACACAAGTGTATGCGTGCAACAAGAAGTGTATACAAAGCTTGTCATCTGGTAATAATATTTTATTGAAAGTCAGTTTAGCTTATATACAAATTTACTTTGTACTAACTAATATTACAAAAATCAGTGTCGATTAAACTTTTAAAAATATATTCAAAGCATAACTGGAACAACTTACTTACTATTTTGAAAATGATCAAATAAAGACTTTAAATTACACAATGCATGTTTCTCCGGTGTCAGACGTAAGTTAAACCGTGAACCCAAAGAGAAAATATTGCGATTTAAAATGCAAGCAGCTAAACTATATATGCAAAAAAAAAGGAAAAAGATAAGATTAATGAACTAAATATTGAATAGTGAAATTGAAAATGATATAAACATCAAGTCACATTTAGCCTTAACGGTCATTTTTAAAGTGTGTATACAGGCAACATCAAAATCAGCGATAATACCATACACTTACAAAAAGTGTGTCGCTTTTAATTTGTCGTGAAAAATTACAATAAATGTGAGAATATTTAGTGCTGGATAGATGATCTTCACATAATTTTTTCCACAATATTTAATTGACCAGTTTTTCCATTAAAGTTTCATGCTGCAATAGATACATCTCGATCTACTGTACAGTTGCACATACACCCCACTTGACATTATGTAAACATTTTCTACAAATAATTTGCACACCTATTTCATTTCTCAGACAGAATGCACATACTGTCGAATCAAAACAAATTTATGCATTTTTACGTATATATGCTTAAGTTAGAAGTATTATTTTATTCCTTCACGATCCCAGTGGATCATAGTGCTTCAGGCTAGACCTTTGAAGTTTAGGTAGCAGTGGTGTTTCTTTTACGGGGTGGCGTTGTTAGCCCCATGTCTAACCTTCCCTCTTTACCAATCATGTTACCGGTTTAGCGAGGTAAAGGAGTGCGTCGGCCGGGGATCGGAACTGAGACCACATGCGTGGTTGGCGAGCATTCTACCACTAAGCCACCGGCGCCCCTAAGTTAGAAGTATATAAGTGATCACGATGAACAAAGGTATTCGTCTATTAGGACACCAGGGAGTTAAGTTAAATTTCATTGTTTTTGCTTGAAACTGCAAGGTGATATGACAACCGAATTGTGTCTGGAATATAAAACTCAGAATTATAAGATATTCTTAGATTTACAAATTAACACTGATATCAAAGGTAACGATTAGTCGGACAGCAACATTGAGACTGCTTGATTTCTTTACCTTTCCTAGTTCAGTCTTACCTATCAGTGAAATCAGAAAACTTAGCTTAGCAGCTAACAGGATGGATGTAGAACGAAGAAATAAATATCACTTATTCACATGACAACCAGGTGAAATCCGCGGTAGCTAGAGCGAAATTAAGACCAGGATAGCAGTTGAGTCTTATAGATCATAGGGAAAGGGTAATACTCCAGATACCTCTAGTTCGAATACTGTCGAGATCCGAGTCTTTATATTTAATTCTAATTAGTAGTGGAGAGGACAAGAATGTCAATTGAATGGCAGAGTACAATGACACAAGCACTTAAGTGACAAAACGACTCAAGTGCAATGTTTCGCCAAATGCAGCAATTTCAAAATATTATTAAGATAATTGCTGTCTACTGACTGCAAAAACTAAACAAAATGACTATGCAACGACTGTCGAATTAGGCACATTGAACAAAATTTTGTCTAAAAAACACATGCATTAAGTGCAAGCAACTAAAAATTCATTAGAAGCAATTCCAGTAGAAGAAACCACATTTCTCTATCACTGCGACACCTATTCGTTTCAGTAGAAATATGCTGAAAAGGTACTGAATCTCATTAAGGACTGGTTTTACTTCCTTTTCGACTCGCTGGAGTGACAAATGTTTACACTGAGAATTATGCCTCCTTGGACAGTTAGAGTGATCATGTGAAATGGACAGTATAGCGTCACACATTCACATGACAGCTGAAAAAAGCCTTGATGATTTGAAGTGAAATTATGGACTGACTAGTTACTACAACTGTCTTTCCTCGAAACTCAGGCGGTACAGCGAAGGAATAATGGATCAGAGGATTGCCAGTTAGAGTCTTATACTGCAAAACAAGGTTTTTAGTTCACTTTTAAACACCAACCGTTAAGATGGGATTATATATATATATATATATATATATATATATATATATATATATGCTGAATTTAGTTAGGCGAGAGAGTTTTTCTACAGTCCATTTTTTTAACCTTACGGCTTTTTGGATGAACTTAAAATCAAGTTGTCCTTAAGTGGAGAGCGCAAAGACATACATACACTAATTCACTAGATTATTGATCAATATCACTCACTACTTACTGTGTGATGAAATAAAAAAGAGACAAAGATGTATTTATAATGCTCATAGTTAAACTTAAACAGTCATGTCATTAAAGAAGGTGAGCGAACTAATCGATAATCTATAAAAACCTACTTATTAACTATTAAGATATAAAAGACACTACATTCACAAAACAATTAATATTTTAGATGTTAACAATGTGATACAGGAATTTGCGGTAAAAAAAGTCATAATAATAAGAGAAATACGTAGAACAGTGAATTAATAGTTATCACATATAAAATAGGTTATGTGAATTTGTAATTGATTTTCATAGTTATGTCAATATTCTGTGAAGTTCATTTTGAATTTTGAAGTACTATGCACTAACTAGTTTCTATTTTTATTACCACGCTTAGTTGCATTTGAAAATGACGATGTTTTTGAGGGTGAATGAAGTGAATTATTCATTTTTTTTTTTTGATTGTAGCTTGATTCCACACAGTATTTTTGTTACAAGTATGGAATTTTCAGCATGTGATATCGGTATCCCAAAAATTTCGCATGCCAGCCAATTGATATCAGGTGTGCGTCGATAGGAGATCGAACCACGGATCATTTGCACGGTCGGTGAGAGTCCTAACCGCTGTGCCACCGATGCACTTCACTTAGTAGAAAATACAGTATTATTAAGTGGGTTACGTTTCGAACACACTTTTTTTTGTCCATGATTAGAGTTTAAACTAACAGCATGGAAGTATTGCTACACATACAAACACACACTTTTCCAGAGAGAATCAGTCAAGGTGTTTGTAAACAGAACAATGGATTTTGGGTAAAAATAACAAAAATCATCGGAAATTTTCTTTTAAAGATTGCATATAGATTGTATGCATGCATTATAATGGCTAACGTCCCGAGTGGAAAGTGGATCTTTGACAGCAAATCTCCACCGTGTTTAATTCTCTGTCATCATTTTCAACTTTCTGCACAACTGCTGACAAGTTTTTCTTTTATAAAATCCTCAAATGATCTTCTCTATGTCATTCAGAGACGCTCAACTCATGGCTTCGCATTCGGGTTCCACATGAGAGGCTGGCGTATAATGTTACTTGAGTGACTCATCAGCGTATGTCCAACCAATCTACATTCCCTTGTGTATGATTCCTGGCTGGCTAATAGGTTCTTGACTGGTTCGCTGCACTGATCTTCGCAGTCAAGCCAGGAAAGGCGGCTGTTAATGAATGTCTGCAACAGCCTGTTGGATGTGCTTTTGGTGACGCATGTACTAAGTTTCTGAACCACGCAAAAGCGTTCACTTGACATTAAAGTCAAAAATTCAGATCCTCTTTCTTGAGCTGTGGATATCTGCACTAATTTTGGAGTAATAAACTCATGTTTTAGTGACGAAATCTCAGCACGGATACAAAAGGCTCGCGTGGCATTTGTCGACTTACGTTATCTCTGACGTAGACATGATATTTGGCTATCGGTTAAAAGACACATGTACTGAGCACCAGTTTGTTTCGTTCTTCCTTATGGTTATGAGACACAGTCATTGAAACAAGGAAAACTTGATGAGGCCGGCTGTCTCTGACCACAGATGTTTGAGCTCTGTCTCTCGTGTTAAGTTGTATTATATGAGTAGTACTGAAGTTATGCGTAGGGTGTTGGGTAAGGAGGACAAGTTATTTTGATTGGGCACTAGTAACTAGTGTGATGTGTCTAGTCTTTTCTTTGGTGCAGACTGAATTCTCTCAGTCAGGTTTGTAATGTGGCCACCATTATAGGTAACTCACCATCATGGTGCTCAGTGGTAACCTCTCTGATTGCAACACTGGTTGACGCAGGTTCAAATCTCAGAAGGGACATGAGTTCCTTCAAGGCTGCAGATAACCCTTGCTACTTACTTTACTTTGCTTCGGCTATCTCCTACGGAAGGATGAGCCGGCTTCATGAACATCTCGAATCATCGCTGCCCAGGCGCAGCGATCTGATGAAGAGAGTTTACGAAGTTTCATGGGAATTCGGTACGAGTGATGTCCCCAGAACCGCTTGGCCTTTTGTTTGAGAGTGCAGCTCTAGCCTTTACACAACCAAGTGTGACCTACAAGGCAGTAGGAGTGGAGTAGGGAGTCCACTATCCATTGGCAGCCGGTGACCGGAGTTCGGTTCATACGCCTTTTTGAATGGGGCTAGACATCCAGGACATCCAACAAGCCCTTTGTCCATACGTCTGCCGGTGAGCTCCAGTGAGCCTCATACGCCAGTCGTTGGAGGTTTGGAATCAGGGTTTAGCCATCTCCCCTAGACTGTCATCCAATGGACAGTCAACCCGGTGAAGAGCGCCGGGCATCCAAGTAGCACGAAACCTAGGTTAAAGGCTTCCTGCCGATTGCCTCCAACCATCTAATAAGGAGGACAAGTTAGACGATAAGGTTTTGAAACCAAATTGATGGAGATGGTTATGACATGTGTTATGCATGTCGAGGCAGCGCTAACATAAAGTTGAGTTAGAAAAGAGTTAGAGGTGGTCAAACCAAGGCCTAGAATCAATCCATAAAGTCTTTGTTTGATGATTTGATCTACATAGGGAGGTGTGTAGAATGCGTGGCTGAGATCGTCAAGGTGCTGAGAACCAATGGCTTAAATCTGTTATTGGTATGGCCGGAAAGAGTTCTCAATGCTAGTCAGATCAATTTAGTCTTCAGGTTTTTCCGTGTTACTATTCTTCCTCCCATGATATTCTGCTCATAATAGATTTTTTTGAGTTTTTTTCTACCTTTGTGTGCCACACAAACTCCTACGTTGAAACTCAGTCAGTCTGTCCTAGCTGGCTTTGACATTCTCACCCGAGCCTCTCGTAGCTGGTGCGATGGTTCCTAGGTTTGGAAAGTGAAAGAGACGACTTCTTTCAGATTCCTCCTAATATAATAGTAACCGGTATTTATTATAGTTAATTGACTATCTTCATCACATCCGTATTCCCCAAGTGGACCTAAAGATGTCTTCTCTGCCTTTCCCGCCACCTTGTTGGTTTTTGTCTCTAAACCTTAAAGTTTGACACATGAGATACACATTATCCACGAAATCCAGATTTTCTAATGTCTGCTTGTCAGTCCAACATCCGTATAACTTTTCACTCCTTATAGCCTGTTGCATGATCCAGTCAACCACAATCACAGGGTTTCTTTTGTGAATTGCCTGGTAGGTAGCGTCACTATATAACTACAGAATGAGGTTTATAAATCTTTGCGGCACTGCACTCCGCAGTTTTGAAAGGAGTTGCTAAATAACTTTTTCATAGCCTTTTTACAGTCGATGAACCTGATGGAAAAAGTTGGTTGCCATTCTAGTACCAGTTCGATGATGATGTCTAGTGTTTCAATTCTATACACAGATGATTGGTTTTTCTTGGATCTAATATTTTTTTCCAGGTGAAGACTTCCATCCAAGATATCTTTCCCGCAGGATGACTTCGCTTGATATTTTGCACAGGGTGGACTGGGGCGTAATGCTGAGCCAATTCTACCGTAGGGTTCAGTCGCTTTTCTTCGGCAGCCTGTCAAGGTACAGTTTCTTTCAAGCGGCAGGTACATTGATTTCCTCCTACACTTTCAGTAGCACGTCTGTTGAGTTAGTGACCAATGTAACAGTTCTTTAAAGTGGTCACCTTTTCCGTCCATTTGATAATTAGGTTTCCTTTACTGTCTTTATCTTCATTGACCTCTTCTAGGATAACAGCTATGCTTTTTGATATAGTTTACAGGATTCCATCATGAGCTGACATCGGTTAGAGAACCATTGGAAAACCTGGGAGTCCTGGTCTGGGACTCTTCTGCAGTACGCACACACAGAGAGTTCTCGAAACCAGGACCTTCCGGTTACAAAGCGAGCTCGTAGACTGTTAAGCCACTGGGACCGATCCAATGACATGGCCGGTGCATGAATTCCACCTTTTGCCAATTCACGATATAAAGCGACCACTAGCTAATGTCATCGGCGAGTATTTGCCCTCACACCCGACAAGAGAGAGGAGAGTAAAGAGAGATATTAAACAGAATTATGAGGCAAAAAGAATAGCAATATGGAAGAAGAACAGATTTTTTCTAACCTAATACTATGTTGGCGAATCCCCTCTGAGCTTATATGCCCGACTTGTGCGCATTCAAGTCTCTAGCTAGCACTACACCGTCTATTTGACGCGCGAGGTTGGAAAGCTCACCCATCAGATAGTACAACCCATTTTTAATAGTATCCTGTCTGCAATCTGTCACTGCATGTGTACACAAGACAAGAAAGCAACGCTTCTCTGGTCACTCAGTGCTTACTTTAGTGTAAACTTCTACTTTTATATCACATAACCGACTGTTTAACGGGGATCCAGTCGAGTAATATATTTTCAGCTGCAACGCTTATTGGGACACCGACAACATCTGAAACGGATGCCAATGCCACAGGGTTCGAGGCATGTACGATTCACACTGATCTAACTTTCAAATGGAGAAGATATTCGTGGCACCAAAAATCTAAATCAAGTGAACACATTAATTTAGTCCAAATTTCATGCTATCACATCAGTTAATCAGTCAACAAAAACTAAAAGTAGGACGTGTTTGAAACACTGACTTTCTCATTCACCTAAAAAAGTTAATTACTGAAAAGTGAAATATTGTATCCTACAGTGCCATCAGATCTTGTTATACGATCATAGTCTCATCGCCTGTGTAAATGTCAAGATGCTTCTTGTACAAACAGACCAAAGCAAGCCTGGTAGATTTAAAATCCCATTAGCAAGACAGTAGAGCACAAAACAAGAAAACTCAGATAACCGGGAAAGATAAGTACAAATATGTCTCAACTATTTCTTTTTTTATGCTACACTGTGTACTTGATGATTTGAAGTCGAATCCTACAGACACTTTACTTGGAATACGGGAATCCACCAATTTCAATAGTGCTTACTGTCATATGAGTTATTCAAGAAATGCTACAATCAATATGAAGTCTATATATTCTCACTAGGTATTATATGCTGGAGGATATGGAGTGTCAGTTTATACTATGGCAATTGGTTAGACTATCAAAGATCGTAATACATATTATTTTACATTGTCTGTTTTCTAAGTAGCAATAATTTTCTATGAAGTCGTAAAAACAATTGTGGCTTTAGCTGGGTTTTTTCTAAGCTGTTGTCAGCACAGCAGTACAATGGGTGCCATCAATTGGGTCTATCATCTTTTATTATTTTTTTACCTTCACGTTCCCCAGTGGAACATAGGGCTTCAAGCTAGTGGCTTGAAGTTTTTGTAGCAGCGTTTATTTTACAGGATGGGGTTGCTAGTCTCGTGCCCAACCTTTCCTCTTCACCAGCATTATTTCTAGATTAGCGAGGTAAAGCATCTTTTATTATGCAACACAGTTATCCTAATAAATCAGAAATGCATACACACTTTCGATATGATATGAAATATACCCATCTAAAAAAACAGTATAACACGCAGAAATGTTAGTACTGCTGAATAAAACAGTCTGTCTGTCTGTTTTCAACATAGAACTTTGCATCGATGTGCAGCAGTTCAAGTCGCCACACTGCATGTAGCAAACAAAGCAAGAGAAGGAAGTACAAGAAATGCAAAAAAGAGACAGCAGTCAGGGATATGAGACAAAAAGAATAGTAATAACGAAGAACAAAACAGTTTCATTGGAAATCATAAGTCACAAGGAGTGGATGCATCTGCGCCATTGAGAACGATTTTGAGCCATGTCACCAATTGTTTCCAACCATTGGTTTTTATCGTCCCGAGGACCCCAACCAGGAAGTCTACACCTCCCTGAGTGGCTGGTTTTAACTGTTGTGGATTTCATTGACTGGTGCCATGTTTTGGTTTAACCACCACTGGCTCTTTGCCAACCTGACCCTATGTCAGCTAACATTGCCCGTCGAAGAAGGCGATGACTAAGCATACGTAACACATGTTCTAACCATCTCAGTCGATATAGCTTCACAGCCTTGTCGACTGATTTACCCTCTTTAGCTAGCACTCGACCAATGCCTAACCTCAATATTACTCACCCTGAGTAAAACACGATAACTAAAAAGTATATTTATTCTGAAGAGCATCTTTCTAAAAAAATGCAACCAACTTACCAGCGATCCGACTGAGATAGATCCCGTGTAAATATATCCATCAGTTTTAGTTTAGGATAATTTTCCACAAAATCTCTTGGATAAATTATCGGTTGATCTAAGATAGCAGCAATCAAAGCGAATAAATGTGTAATGTAGGCAAAGCATATAGGTGATGTGAAAAAATCTGCTCCATAGTCTATGCTGGGATGGTGAACAGGATGACTGTTCATCATCACTGATAAATCTGAACCATCCAGTAGGGTTGATGAGTTGTCATCGGATAAATTACTCTCATGGATACCCAGGGCCTGAAATAAAGACGGTAATAAAGAAATGATAAATATTATGAATTATAACAAACAATAAGTTAAGTGATTGTCACACAAAATCGAAGACTTACAAGCAAAAACTGACAAACTGGTCAAAGAAGCAACAAAGACAGGACTCCAGGTGAACATAGACAAGACGGAGGTTATGAAAATAACCAACCAATAATAACAACAGCAGCAACATCCAGCGCCAATCACCATCAACGGGAGGGATTTGAAAGAGGTTACTTCATTCACTTATCTAGGGAGCATCGTCTCAACTACAGGAGGAACGGACGAAGACGTCAAATCGAGAATCGGGAAGGCGAGAAACACCAACATCATCAACCTGAAACCAATCTGGAAATCTTCGTCACTCAGCATCAACAACAAAATTCGGATTTTCAATACAAACGTCAAGTCAGTTGTTCTTCTATACGGATCAGAAACTTGGCGGGTCACCAAGAATATTTCCAACAGCCTGTTGCAGACCTTTATCAACAACAGCTGTCTTCATTCTATACTGAAGATCAGATGGCCGGAAAGAACAAGAACCAACAAGAAACTATGGGAACAAACAAAACAAGAACCAATCGCCCAACAAATATGCAGGAGAAAGTGGAGATGGATTGGACACTCGCTGAGGAGGCCGCTGGGTGACATCGCGCGTCAGGCCATCGCTCGAGTGGAACCCGAAAGGGAAGCGGCGAGTGGGACGTCGGTGCAAGGGTGACATGGAGGAGACCTTGTGAAGTGGAGCTGAAACAGTATGGACTAACATGGATGCAGGTGAAAAGTACAGCAGAAGAAGGAAACAAGTGGAGACGTGCAGTTGAAGCCCTTTGTTCTACTAGGAACCGAAGGGAACAATAATGTAATAATAATAATAATAAGTTAAGTGATAAAACAATATTATACAGATACGGAAACAGTGATAGACCCCTACAGCAAGATTATTATATTGTATGAAGTAAATTCAAATTTAAAATAAAAAACAATGACATTTCTGATCTGTTGAGAGCCGTGGAGCATGATACAATATGAATTGATCGATTGCCAACAAACTCCTAATTTTTATATTTTATTTCAGTTTCGATCACCACGGAATATTTCAAATATTTCATTTATTATACCCTTTTAAATAAAAATAATGACTAAGAAAATATCTTACAATGCATACTTGAGAAAACAAATGACGTTATTTATTCAATAAAATTGATCCTTAGTTTTGTTCAGCCTAGTGGTGTCATAGCTAAAATTAAGTGTTGAAACACACACATTGCGTTAATATTGTCTTAGATCCATGAATAGCATTTAACACGTGTGTTTTTTTCATCTGATCTCTATGTATCATTGCAAAATGCCACCCTAAGGTGATCTAACTACTCTCACATGAGGTGTTACATAGATACAGCTTGTCGGACATAGGCTGTTCTCTCATATCCTTTATTCCCGATGACTATGCTTAAAAGTTACACATTGGGATAAGGTATGGAATTACATATCTTGCTAGTTCCAGAAGTCGCTCCTCAATTCTTCTTAGCCGTGTTAAGATTGCAATGACCTTAAATTCACTAGTGTTGATATGGCCTTCAGGATGACAGAAACAGTCGATTATCACTGAGTGATGATTATTCCAGCACTTTTTCTAAGTAATGGGGGCTTTTATGACAAAACATGGAAAATAGCAAAAAAGTGTCCCTAAAACGTTTTGCGAGTTAACAGCCTTAGCGCTAATCAGATTAATAATTTAAAAAATACGAAGGTTGGTCAGTGATGTAGATTACATTTCGTCGTTATTTATGGCCGACAAAAAAGGTAAGATAAGGGACTAAAGTAATCACCAGGTAATCATCACAGACAATCTACGAATGCATGCTTTCTTCTTTAGAAAATTAACATATCTTAATGGGGTCCACCTTGTCAAGAGCAAGTGGATGCTGCTCATCGACAGCACCGATTGAACCTGGGCGCTATAATATTATGAATTGACAAAGTTTTATAATTCACTTGTCATTGAAATCTGGCCCAATTGGCTGAATGATGAACAAGTTTGGTCTCGTAACCCCAGGGTGCTGAATTCGACCCCCCGTGGCGTTGTCCGTGAGTACTGATGAAGAGTCCCTGACTTAGACGAGGCAGTTATCTAGCACTCCCTGGTTTTGAATGACCTCTACTTGATGTTTTTCGTGACGAAACCTACATTGAAATTGATCTCTTCAACATTCTATAATCGAAACATATCTTTACTGGAAGTTGAAATATATAAGACAATATTTCAGTAATTTGACTGAGAAAGAACCTCAATCATATTGTAAACAGGAAATCGATAAACAATCAAAAATGGACGATGAAGTTAATGCATACTCATAAATAGCACGTTATGAAAACTCTTATCAGTGTTTTTTTCTAATACCGCAGACGTTTAAATTAACAGTAATGATGAAACTATAAGGACAGCACACGACATACTCTATACGTGTTGAACTTTTTGTATTATTAGAGAATTAGTCAAGTGATCAGTCGTTATAGTAAGAACGAATCGAAATCCAGTATTGTTCACAGGTTAGAACATTTATAAACATCGTTAAACAGCTATATGATGATGCTGCATGCCAATTAATTCACAACAAACAGCTCATCGAAACGTTTGAAGAGGGACAAAAATGTCTGTAGTTATTGATGATCTTCGTATTTGTGTTGAACTGGAACATGCGGGAGACCGTGGAGAGTGTAAGATAAGCATACATTGGACTAACAAAAAGACCACAGAAGATTTGGCTTTCGCAGATGACTTATGTATCATGCTTCATAAACACGAAGATTTAAAAGCGAAGACAGGACTTCAGGGAAATATAGAGAAGATAGAGATGATGAAGATACCTGATAATTGCAACAACCACCAATCACCATCAATCAATAGTAAAAATCTGAAGCAAGTTGTTTCTTTCATTTACCAAGCTAGGCAGAATCATTTCAACTACAGCCAGCAAGGATGAGGATATTAAAGCCAGAATCGTATCGAGAAAACAAGACAAGAGTTCATTACTCTGAAATCAGTGTGTACAGCATTCAGTGCAATCAATAAGTTTCGGATTTGTAACATCAAAAGTCTAGTCAGTGCTTCTATATGGTTCAGATACGGTGGCACTCCTGTCACCGAAAGCTTTTCCACTAGACTGTTGCGCACTTCCATCAACAGTTGTCTCAATACTGAATATCGAATAGCCTACAGAAAAAAAAAACATAAGCGAAAAAGAACGTTGGTAGTGCATTTGAACCAGACGAGAACCCGTTGCCCAACCGATAAATATGCAGAATGAGCTAGACATGGATTGAACATACGCTGAGGAGACACTGGAGTGAAGTCAGACGCCAGGCTTTCAAGTAGAACCCAAACGACCTTGGCATCTGATGGTGACATGGAGGTCGTGTGAAGAGAGGTTGAAAGCTTTTCAGCAGTCATGCAGTCAGCTGAAGGAGATAGCAGAGAAGTGAATGCGGTGGAGATGTGTACCAGTGAAGCCGTATGTTCCATTCTGAGTGCAAGCAACGAATAACAGTAATAATAACATCGAGAGTTTGCGTAGGCTTCAATGCTTTCATGCAGAAATTTGGATTGTCTACTAAGCAGTGACTAGGAAAAGACTTTCAACACATAGATCTTATCAATCTATCTACTTTGTAAGAGAATCCTTTCATTATCCGCAATTATTTCACTTAAAAATTAATCAGTAATAACAGTGAATAGTTAAGCGGCAATAACACTAGAACTCACTTCTTGATTAGCATTGAATACTGGATTTAACAGATCACTGACGAATAGACTGTACACTTCATTTAATAAATGAAGTATGCGAACAAACAACGCACATTGTATTTTATTCAGCTCTTTGCTTTCAAAAAATAAAAATAAAACTTGGTAAAATGGAACAACTTCGATAAATGATACGCTTATAGGCAATCACACTGATCACTCAATATATGAACTAATTGATAAAACACTAGAAAGGTAAGGAATAAAGCGATTCAGTTTTCTAACTACTACACTCAGCTGGGAATTTATACTGTGGCGAGTGCTGCTGATACGACTTGTCACTAGTATATAAAGAGACGTACATCGACATAAAACATCAAATAGCAAGGAGATGCATTTGATGTCAGAGAAGGCAAATGGTACAGTGTTGTGCAGATATATGCAAGACGTGAAAGTAACACAAAGAAACACAATATGCAAACCAGAAGTATCACAACATGTTGATCTGTACAAGTTGTGCGGTGAAGATAAGGTGTACATCACTTGGCTATATAGAGATACTGATTTCCAAATAAACATTCCTTTTGATTGGACAATAGTAATTAGTGTGATGTATCTAGTCCTTTGTTTGGTGCAGACTGAATGCTATCAGTCAGGTTTGCAATGTGGCCACCATTATAGGTAGCTGGCCATCACGGTGCACATTGATTTGATGATATTAGATGGATGGTTGGAGGCAAACGGCAGAAACCTTTGGACCTCGGTTTCGTCCTAGTTGGCACTCGTCAGTAAGGCGTATCTGCAACCTTGAAGGAACTCATGACCCTTCTGAGATTTGAACCCACGTCAACCAGTGCTGCAGTCAGAGACATTAACACTGAGCTATTCGGGTTTGTGATTGACCTACCGTTTTAATATCGTTGTTGTATTGCTATAATAACATAACCTATTTTCGTGACTTCAACACAATCGAACGATGCCACCGATGAAACATCTGTCATACACAACTACAATCACTGAATATTTTTATAAATAAAACATGATCTTAACTGGTGATTGTAATGAAGTGACCTAACAATGTGCATAAATTAACATCTCGATATCGATGGATAGCTGAGTACATGGTACCCTATAGTACTTAGTAATATTATTGTATGACTAAGAAACGTGTAACCACTAGGAGTACACAATTTCCGAATTAGATAGATATGGCCTTTAGCCACAGTCATGATAATAGTCTAAAGGTTGATCATAAAGTTGTATATAGTCAGTATGAAGCATTCTATGAAATTATGACATTTCGAGACTTCTGTTGCCGTTAGACACTGTAATACAACTAAAGTGAAAAAAGCATGACCGCGAACTGCCCTCCACTATGATCAACAGAACACAGGAAACTGATGATGAAATCACCCAACCAATCAAACAAAATCCCTACAAAACTGATACTTGATGTCTAAAAATTAAGATGATGTGGCAATATGCTAATAGGCTTGGGTCTTAGTGTAATTTATTTTGTCTCTTTTCCAGACTCTGAAGGTCTCATAACAATTTTACTCTCGTTTGTTTTCGGTTTTCAATTGTCTTCACACCTGATTATCAAGCAAAGAAGACAAGCAGAAAGATCAGTCAGTCGGTGGTTCAGTGGTAGAATACTCATCCACGTAGTCCGGGTTCGAGTCCCATCCACTCCACTCCTAAAAATATAGTCTAGTCAGTAGTAAGCATGGAAAAATGAGGAGGTTAGGCGTGAGGCTAGTAACCCCAATACTCCACAGAAAAACACAATCGCTGTTGAAAATTCGAAACTCAAGCTTGCTTGAAGCCCTATGTTCCATGTGGAAGGCGAAGGAATAAAAACATTACAAAAACAGAGATCTGTGCTTCATCAGGGGTAAACTTGATACATATTCATATTACAATCCAAGTTGTTATTATGCGTGTATAATCGTAAAACTAAATGTTTAATGAAGTAATAACCACCACGATGACAGGTTGTTGATAAGGCAAAGTACATTAGCCTTTAAACGGTGTGTCACAAAAATTTAGTGCAATGTAATCAACAATATTAGTTTGAAGGTAGTCAATAACAAAGCTTATATCCCGATTTTATTCTATCTGTTTTATCAATCAGTATGGTGCATCTGGGACTGGACTTTTCATAATTCAATTAAAATTATGAATTTGTTTCACTTCAAGCACTCAAACCTATTGTTAATAAGTATCGACTGAAATGATGTGTATATATTAAAGGATATGTTTTCGAACACTTATAAACCTGACATAAAAATGGATGTTAATTGGAAGTTTGTAAATTATCATAGACTGATAAGATTTTTAATAGTAGAGAAATTGCACAAGAGGTCATTGTCAAAAATATTAATAATGGTAAAACTTACTAACCGACCTTCAGAGATTGATGCAAAACTTCTAGTCGATTAGTAACTACTGTTCTGTTTTCACTTAAGTTCAATAACTCTTGCTCTGTTAAAAAATAAGACGAAGAATAAATTTTTTTTCTTAGAGAAGTATTACGTGAAATTATGACAGAATAAGGAATGAGTTATGCCTATGAATAGAACTTGGTGTATAACCTTACTTTGAGGTAAAAATTAATTATATCCTTAAATTAAGTTTGAAGTTCTTCAGAGAAAATAAATCAATGCACCAAGACATTGATGTGTTCAAAATTATGTAGAGTGCAACGAAAGTTTTGATAATTTCAAATGAATTCCCTGAAGAAACTCAAAATTATAGAAATGTGACATCACATCGGTGATGTGTGTACATCGGTATCTGAATTCAGAGGAAATTTATCACGGGAAAACAGGAGAATGGCGTCGTTTGCAGTACTCAGCTGAGTGGTATGTGAGATAGACAACAGATGGAAGACTCGTGAACCTTTAAAGCAATTATGTGTTTTAGCCTTGATATCTCACCCGTATTTCCTTTCTGAGGATTTTGCCTAGAAGTGTACTGACAGATCAGTAGTCAAATCGTCTAGTTCGGCGCGAACGACAACATCAAAATAATAATAATAAGTAATGTATATTTTGAGGTCGTTATTTCATGTGTGGCGAAGCCTCAGTTAGATCGGAATACCAGGAATATCTTCATCAATGAAGGAGTAGGGTTTCGAAATGTGTACGTCGCGAAGGCCAAATCAGTAAAGACGGCTTTTGACACGAATTCCCAATAACGACAGATCCTTGAATAGCTCTGAGGCAGAGAATTTCTATTCACACAAATATACTACTGTACTTATTGCAAGTAGCTAGACAGTAATTTATAAAAAATAAGAATATCTAGAAGAGTTGGTCTGCAGGGATTTGATTTGTTTCAAGTTTGACCACGGATTCATATCAGTTACAGAACCATTTAAACCAGGGAGTACTGAACAACAACTCATCATCAGTACACACGAAAAAATTGTCCAGTAATCTCCAGAGTTCAGTGGTTCTCTAACTGATGTTAATCTGTGGTCAAACTTGAGATAAATATATCTTCCATATTAGATGAGTTTATTTGATTTAACATAGAGTGATGCAATCTTAAGAATTGGATGACGTTTTAAGCACAATTTACTGCTCGTAATCATTTCAATGTATTCACACGACGTGATATATTATGGCCTCACTTCAACTTTTTTAAATTGTAATTTCCTATATACCCGGGATAAGTGTTTGGTATTGATTCGATGAACGAAATTTCGTTGATAAACCTTTCTCTCTACGTAATTGTACTACTTTTTAATACTTCTAGCCTATTCTACTATACTGTGTGATAACATTTAAGTAAATGCCTTGCAAGCGTATAAAGTTCATTGACACTAGAATATGAGGAGAAATCGAAAATGAACTTCCTACAACAAGAAATATCAGCTTTAAAAAGTTTCAGAAGCGACAAGAATAGAGTAATGACCCAATCTGACTAGGTTAACTCAACAGTAGTTATGGAATGACAAGATAATAGTAACAAAGTCAGTGAATATATATTCAAAAAGGTCTATATGAGGAGATTAAGAAACCTGTTAACACAGTTATTTATAAGTTCAAAAAATTTACAGCTGATCTAGGATGTCGAATGAATTCGTTTCAAACTGATTCAAAATGGTTTGACTTAGTGCCTAAAAATAATAATAATTCTAGCAGAATGTATGTTTGTTAAAAGCTATTGAGATACGCGATTAGGCCTACAGTTGACTTTAAGAACACCCCGACATATGAACCACGTAAATATTTGCCATCAGCATTAGGTCTCACTAGAGACTGATCAGATTCTAGGTTAGGGAACTCATGCGAAATGAGATGAAAGCTAGAAGAAGTTTTGGCGTAAGAAGTTTACATACTAATATTTCCATTTATGCAGTTCGGAAAGCAAACGAGGCAAAGCAGCAGGACCTGATGCAATGACTCGAGAGGTATTAGGTAGCGCCTGGGAATCAGAGGAAGTCCCGTCAGGTCGGTGAAAGTCATTGATTATCCCCATATACAAGAAGGGAGACAAGTCCTCCTGTGATAATCACAGGATGATTAGCTTGACCAATACGGTATCTAAAGTTCTAGGCTCAATAATAATGCGTAGACTAAGCGCTGCTCGGGGGGAACAAACACCGGAGAGCCAGGTAGGCTTTAGACAAGGAAGTGGGTGTATTGATGATATCGTCACCCTTCGACAGATTCTGGAACATAGGCATACTTACCGGCGTCCAGCAATCGTCATATTTCTTGACTCAAAGGCGGCATTCGATTTCGTCGACCGAGAAGTACTCTGGCGATGTTTGGCCATGAGGGCAAAGCCGAGAAGACACATCGCACTCATCAAGACACTTCACTCGAACTCATGCAGTCGGCCAGGTAAGAGCCCTAGGAGAGTTGTCATCTGAAGTGGTGTCCGACAGGGATGGCCCCTATCCCCGTTTCTTTTCAATTTCATCATAGATGTACTAATGGAATTAACCCTAACTGACTTCAGCGACTCAGGGATTGACTTGTTACCACACAATAATTTCGTTGACTTAGAATATGCATGCGATTCGCTCCTGCTGTCAAATGTAATGTGATGCTACAAGACTTGACTACATTGACTACTCCCAACTTAAAGGTAGAGCGTGTTGACCACTTCACTTATTTGGGGAGTTGCATCAGCCAACAGCAGCAGGTTGATCGCTGTCGAAATCTCAGCACGGATACAGAAGGCTCGTTTGGCATAGGCCTGCCAACTGACGCCATCCTTCGCGTAGACGTGATATCCGGCCGGCTGTCCACCAAAGGATGTGTGTACCGCTCAGCTGTTCGCTCTGTCCTCCTTCATGGCTGTGACATAAGGCTATTGAAGGTGGAAGATACGAAAAGCCTGGCTAGCTGTCTTCGATCATAGGTGCCTGCTTTCTATCTCCCGTGTTTAGTGGTATAATAAGGTGAGCAATACTGAGGTGAGGCTTCGGTCGAGTGCTAGGTAGATGGGAAAGGAAATCAATCAACGATGGTTAGGACATGTGTTACGTATGCCTAGTCACCGTCTTCCTCGACGGCAATGTTAGCTAACATACGGTCAGGCTGGAAAAGTTAGCTAGTGGTGATCATAACAAAACATGGCATCAGTCAATGAAATCCAAAACAGTTAGTTTAAGCTACGTAGGAAAGCGTAGACTTCCTGGTTGGGGTCCTAGGGACGGTGAAATCCAGTGGCTAGAGACAATTGTTGATATGGATCAAATCGTTCTCAGTAGCCCAGACGCATTCACTCTTTGTGATTTATAATATCCAATAAAATTTTGTTGTCCTTCCATATCACTAGTCATGTTATCTCATATTTCTGTCTATGATCTCTTTTTTGAACTTATCTTTACTCTTTTCTCGCTTTGTGTGCTGCATGGAGTGTGGCAACTGCTACAAATCTGTAAAAAGTTCTACGTTGAAACCAATCAGTCAGAAATGAATATATAACGGATGGAATTCATGATTATATATATATATATATATATATATAATAGCTACTACTACTTTTGGTAAAATGAACTATGTTATAAAGTCGAGTTGTAAAGCAAATACAACCAAAAAGATTAAAACAATGAGTCCTGGAGGCCTAGAAGTATAATACTGCGTTAAGACGAATATGGGGTGAATATCCACTTTACAATGAAATCTTAACCGTAATACAAAACAAGGACTCAGTGTCTTTAAAAGTAACCTATTTAAATTCCTTAAAAACTGTAGAGCTGCTACCCAATAAGAATAGCAATAGTAATTATCTTATCACCAACAGTTCATAAGAATCAATTGCGCGATTTTCAACTGCTAAGCAGGAATGCCATACTAGGTGTAAAACTTCGCGCTTTAGGGAATGAGGCAATACTATCTAAAGAATCACGTCATACTTACTGCCCAGATTAAATGCTCAGTCAAGTTAGTCTACTCAGATCACCTGAGCTGATATAAATTTATTTAATGCATTACATTAAAGAAAAAAAAAGAGTAATTCAGAAAAGAAATAATAACTTTATATCTTTAGGAATTAATGTGCACAGCGAAAAAAGATTTACCTAGAGAGAATCTTTTACTTTTCAGAGTTTCTATCTTCTTGCCTGTTAGCAACATCAAACATCTTGTCAATTCTATTCGTTTCTTGACTAGACCAATCGCCGCAGCCATTTTTTCAGCAGCAATGCCCTTTACATTGAGGAAAATTGGCAAAATGCTGTATTTGTAAGAATTAACATTTTATACTAAAAAATAACTCAGAAAAAAAAACTTGCTAAAGGTAACCAATTTAAACAAATCAAGCTGGCGGGTTTTTATTCTATCATGCATTGAAGCTCATTCTAGACGCCTGTAACAGTTCTAATTGTATATATATATATATATATATATATATATATATATATATGACAGAATTATTGCCCATCAATAATGACAGTAATTCCGTGACGAAATACCCCATCACACAATTCGTAAGCATAAAGCGACATGGCGAGTGGTCCAGAAAAATGCAGTCAATATTTTCAGTTGATCTGAACAGACGTCTGTTTTGCTCAGCAAATGTTGCCGGGGAACACGTTTTTCACGCTCTGGACAGTGGAGAACAGGCTAGTTTAAAGCAGGCGAAATAAGATTCGAATAATTTTAATTTTTAAAGGTCAACCTGCTCGATATATAGCACAATCAGTTTGGCTGCCATACAAAACGACACAACAAAATGACCATAGAAGTAGTCCGCAAGTGTTAACTGATTCATTCGAATCACTCATTCTTTCGTATGTCTAATTTTCAGTAGAATACCAGTTACCGTACACATGACTCTCATATAACATTCAACAATCAACTGATTACAATCTTCTTGGTTCATACAGTGCTAACTGACTTTCACTTAATTAAGTTTATGTGGGTAAGTGAATGTTTTTAAGGTCCTTGCAAAGCACTACCGTACGATTTTAAGTTATGTGAATCACTTAAGACTTACCTGGCTGATCAAACTGTGAAGAGATGATTTCAAAACATTGGCTAGACCTTGCATATACTTTATACGTTTCAGCTGAACCTTCAAAGCCTCCTTGTTGACTAAGAATCTATTGAGAATTAGAATAAGAAAATTTCATACTACTTCTGCAGTGAAGATAAGTTGTAAGATGGTTTGAGAACATGGCGGGAAGTGCTTTTAGGCCACTGAAAAGTAACAGTTAATTACATTATGGTAATACCATTTGAGTACTTATTATGTTTGGCGAGAAATACTCACGGGGAGAATATATATGACTGCCCATTTGAAAATAAACCTGATCCTTTGACTGCGGTAGGCACATATTTTCGCGCATCTACACATTGTTTAAAGGGTCTGAAACTTACTTCTGAATTGGCGACAACGAGGCCAGAGAAATGTACCAAAATTTCAAACAAAAGTGAATTGCTTTCCTTGTGTACAAGAAAGAAAGTGAATAAAACAGCTAAAGCATAAACTGGTTGAGAAATTCAAACCTTTAGATGATGAGAACTGTTTAGGAAGACTGTGTACTTCAATAGATTCCCATTCGGGATTCTGAAAGATATACCGATTACCAATGTTCAAAATCAAATTACTTCAATATTAGTGGCAACTTCGCTGACATAGTAGTCTGAATTTCCATTACTTAAAACGTTAACTTACAGCCAATATTATCTTGATTCACAGAACTTAGGGCGAAAGTCACCCCCACAGCCGACTCAAATTCATCACTGAAGGCGTCAAAGTTCCTTCCATAGACAGCTCGAAGGTGTCTTAACCGCAACTAAGTACTATTAAAGTAATACACAACACTTACAATGAGGGAGGACATTACAATGCATATTAATTTTGCAAAGCACACAGTATATTGTATCAGAACTACAATTCGACGATAAATCTATTTGTATTTTTTTAATTATCTGGGGATATGAGTTTATTATGTCGTATGACTGTGGTAGAGTACACCAGCAGGATAACCTTTAAAAATAACATCAGAATAACATGAATTTATGAAGTGGCAAGCACGTAAACTTACTCACCTGTGTATTAAACAAGTGATGAGTTTCGTGATTCACAATGAATAAAATGGAAAAAATACGCCTTCGAAATAAACAACTACCTGCTTCAACTTATAAGTGGCAACACATGTGACGCCAAAACCGAATTGTCGCTATGTTCAATGGCATGTGACAAACATGTATTATCGTATCAATACTGTGGCGATCATTTCTAGTCTGTCAATGATAAACACTGGGCCATAGAAAAACTGGATGCAGCAAAACTGGCCATTCACCTAGAATATCCTTGTCAATGTAATGTATGAGCGAATATATGAGAGAGCACAGTGCGTTAGTTAGGTGGGTGCTGTTTTTGTCCCTCGCATAGTGTTTGTGTGACTCGGAGAGTGTAAGTGAAGGGGATGTGGTTATCCCGGATCGGATGCCTGTGAAGTCGAGTGATTGCTTTGACGACTTGTGGTGGTGTTAGCTGGTGTTTCAGCTAGTCAGTGGGGGAGATTCTCTTGGTGTTTTCTGAATGTGATTATTAGTCAGTGATAATGGGTGTATGAGGACGACAGGTGAAGGCGTGTGACTAGGTGAACAGTGCTTGATTTTGGTTGTCGTTTGCGCCTGGCTTTTGCCAGTCGACAAGTGAATGATGTCTAATTTTCCGAAATACTTGTGGTGAGATGGTGACAAATTTGGTGCATTTGTGTGGTAAGTCAATGATATACTGGTGACATTATTTTGATTGACCTAGACTGCTGACACTGAATTCCCGGAGTTGACTCTGTGTGCTGACGAGGAGTTTTGTGTGACTGCGGCTGAAAATGGAGCTACGAAGAGGTTAGTTTTCTATCAGGACAAATTGTAGTTTATTATTGTTTATTATTGTCTTATTGAGTATGTGCTACGTGATGAGTGTATGACACCTCTTATGAGCTAGTGATTCGTGTTTCACACTGACTTCTTGTCTAAATTGGTTTTTCTGTCTGTTTTTCTTTCAGATGTCACCAGTGCACACTAGGTAAGCATGCATATTCGGAATGCCATTTATGATGAACTGATTGCGTGTCATATGAACTTTGATTGATATGTACTATTAGTCTGATCGGAATTCGCACTGTTTTGTGTTGTTAGTAGTTTAGCTACATTTCAATGCTATCGTTAGAACGACAAGTCTTGTTGCTAAATATTTATTGAGTTTTGTTTTGCATTGTTTCCTAGTTGGGTTGGAACATGTTATTTTGGAGTTGTTGTTCTCGTGACGCTGAGGGTGTATGTGGACGGATGGGGCTTTCCGTTTGGCGCCTTGTAAGCTGGAATGGTTCCTACGAGTTGATAGTGCCACTCCATTCTGTCAGTCTGTGTGGAGGAGTATAAAGGAAGAAAAAGTATGATGATGCTTGTGATAAACAATGTTTAGTCGAATGTATAAAGCAATGTGAAATATAGATATTATTTGGAACGAAACCAGTTTTGAATTGTTGTTGTTGTTTATGGGGGTATGAGTCGAGGCTGCTATCCATGTTAGTGTTGACTTTGTGACAGTTTGGTTTTTTCATATGTTAATTAAATTCATAGCGTTTGGAGATGACTTTTGTTTTCGAAATGAATGGATTGAGAATATATTTATTATGTTTCTTTTGTGAGAGTTGAACTTACTCGAATGCTTCTTTTGAATTCTTCAGTTTGGCAGAATATTTCCGATGATGCGCATATCTGTTGGGGTCGGTGGTGTGGCTGCTTCCCCAATCTGGGCGTTCTAGTGCTGCAATAACTGTATGACGAAAAGGACAGAGAGTCAAACGGATGACTAGATCCGAATTATGTTTAAATAATAATAATAATGATAATATAGCTTTATTTCAGACAATATGCGAACATATGGTACAAAAGTTTTCGGTGCATTCAGTTCCGAAATACGTTTTTCTTCATACAGGATATACATGTAAATTAATAATCTGAAGTATGTCATCATTTCGTTGAGGTAATGCACAGCATTTTCTAAGCACAATATGTTCACCTCTCCTACCGGAGATGAAATAGGTGTTACGAAGACTCGGATACAAGGCACATGGCAGCGGTTTCCACGTAGTACTGAGACTGTATATCAGCACAACTCCAAATGGTTTCTCTGACTAAAATGTACTCACTGAGAAGCACTCTCATGACATTCTCCCGGAATAGGAAGCCGGCAAATAAGGGAAATATTGACCACCATGAAAGAAAGGACTAGTTTAAAAAGTCATAGAGACATATGCACGTAGTGCAAGTGTAGCAGTGCAGAGGGAAACATGAGACGCCGAATGACATACATATCACATAAAGCAAAGTTGTGCAAGCTGAGACGAATCGGAGGTTGATAAGCGCAAGAAGATGAGCCAAAACTAGGTAGATGCTGAGCGAACACGGCGGGACGAATGAGGTTCTAGAGAAGCAGCTTAGAGGGAAAAAAGTCAAAATCTGAAAAATGATGATCGACAGCTGTGTGTGGGGGATTATTGGAAGGGAAGGCGATAAGTACGAGCTCAGACTTCCAACAAGTGTCCACCAATCGATAGTGACAAATGCAAATATCTTAGGGAAACAATCAAGTTTGTCAACACTGGAGAGATTTCCAGGCAAGTTGAAGTGAATCAGGTAATAACGTGGCGATGAAGGAATTTGACTGAAAGCCGTGAAAGGGAGAACAACTAAGGTAGTTTTTCATCGACGCTCCATACAAGTTTTAAATCACGAACTCCAGTGAACACACTTAACAGGCCGTTTGTTTGGCGCTGTGTCTTTGTTTCAACAAGGTCAACGCACAATTTTGACTGCGAGCTGCGTGAGTTGTTGCACGTTTGTTTTGGGTGTAGAGTTTTCGGTTGGTACCATATTATGAGTGATGACAAGCGAATAGTGCCTTGGATTGACGCCAATGAATTTAGTAATGTCGCCAGACATGTATCATCAATGAAGGTCTGTGAATTGGATATGGCTCGCAAGGCTATAGAAGTATGGTTGCATCGAATGCCGGCGTCAAAAATACCTAGATCCATAGTTTGTACTTATGAACTTCTGAATGCCTACCTTGAGCGTTCAAGTCAGAGTATGGCCTTAGCTCTTATGAGGTTCGTATCGCTAGTGTCCAGTGAGTCTCAAGATCGTGAGAGGCCAGGCTTTGCACTCCCAATTTTGTCACTTGCACGCAAGGCTGGCCTACCAAGCTGGTTGGCTGATCTCCGCAATGACGTGGCACATGGAACAATGCCATCTACTGATGTATTGGAGAGTGCGTTTTGGTGGTCTTTGAGGTATTTAGGGAATTTCTGGATGTTGAATGTGAAGTATCACGAAGAGAGAACGACCGAGTCGGAAAATATGTTGAAGAGCTACAGCTCAATGATCTGCAGTTATTTGGAGAGATTGTTGCAGGGGGAGGAGATAGCCATGCAATCAGACCTCAAAGAAGCGTTCACTAGTCGATTGTCACCGATGTGTTTATTGTATGTCACTGATCACGTATGTTACCATGGGTGTGATTTGCTAGCAAGTGGGTGTGCATTGAGCGATATTGTCGAAATTCAAGCCAAGAATCTAAAACCTCTGCTCAGTTTCCTGCAGTCCTGCAAACTTCTCAATGAGCTGGTAATGCAATTTATATTAGGTCTTGAAGATGACGATTCCTCGTTCATGGACATTCGATTGAATTGGTGTGTCGGTTGGGTGAAGGCAATCAGTCACAAGTCTGGTGGGACCACTCTGTGCGATTATGTAGACAAATTAGTGATTGACTGGAGGTTAGCATTTAACCATGTTCTGAACTGTGTGTGTGATAAGTTTGAGGAATTGGTTGTTGCTTTGTTGTCAACTCGCGACCCACCGATGTCAGATAAAAAACTGGAAATGATAAAGAGCCATATTAACGTGTTTTACGGCTACGGGATTTCTAACGCACATGAGAATATTCGAACTGGGCCTGAACCGAGGTCCCAATGGAATCTCTCGAAGTCATTATCGTGGTCAGAGAAGCCGCTTGGAGCGCTAATGAATTTACGTAATAACTTGTATTCTTTGACTTTAATTTCAGCTCAAGATGCCACGACAAGTGGACAACATAAAAGAATTCCTGCACATGACACAGAGGGCGGACGCCAAATGTAAGTTATTCAAAAGTGATGATAATTGTAACTTATGCAGCCGTTAAAATCAAAGAGAATAAGGACAACGTCAAATTCAAAATTCGATGCAGCCGATTTTTATACACTCTTGTTGTAGTTGAAAAGGAAAAAGTTGGAAAGATTAAACGTTCACTACCTCCAAGTAATTATAATTGATTATTAGTTAATCCTGAATTTCCGTTTAGATCTCACTGTCAAAGAACTGTAATAATAATAATAATTTACTTTATTCCAAAAACAGTACTTGTGATACAGAATGGAATTTTCAGCATTAATCACAATATTGCATCTAATTTCCTCAAATTATAAATAAAATTATTCACAAAGTAAATTTTTCTACATTTACAATACGGTTAATATAAAAATAAATAAATAAAAAATAAAAAACATGCAGCATATAAAATGGAAATAATAATAATGATAGCAGCTAAGGTAATGATAATAATAATAATAATACAAGTGAAAATTGCCGTCGGCTTGTTTCACACAGTATTGTCGATGCGGTATATGAATCCTTGCATGATTAAAAATATTGAATATGATGTTCTCTTTACATGATATGGTGAGGGGAAAAACAAAAATTACAGCAGTCATAGAGATAAGTTGGTGTTTGCAGTTATGAAACTGAGAACAAGAAGCAACAGGACCATAAATATAATAGAAATAATAAAAGTAAAACTTGAAGGTATATAAGGATGGATGGAGAAGATTGTTTATTTACTAGATGAAAAAAGGTTAGTCAATTCTTGCCTGACGCTATTTTCATCACATAAAATACGTGCCAAGTATGGTATCATAGAATTTTGATACTTAGACGTGCGAGCATACAGTTTTCTGAAGTTACTTCTCGTTCTACCTGAGGAGATGCAAGGTGAAAGCTGAGGGTGAAGTGGATGCTCCAAGTCAGACAAAATCCCTTTGGCAAATATACTGCACGAAGTCAAATGCCTATCAACAACGACGTTAACTA